AGATAAGACGACCCTTGGGGTGCCCTCCATTGAGAGGATATTATGATTCTAGAGAGCATCCTACAACAGAAGCAGGCAGTTAGCCTCAGATGTTATTTGGCTATTACCTCTCAACACCTGATCTTGAGGTATTATTGGACAGAATAATAAATGGGACACAGTAGACAATGAAAAGCTTCCATTCTCAAATGAGCCATCTACTTCTCTGAGGAAATTCTGCCACTTGAGGGCTTTAGAAGGCTGGAGGTTTTAGAAGGGAACTTAGCCAACCCCCTTCACCATGATCCCCCCTCATCAGGCCTGAAATTTCTCAGAGGGCCCCAATCCTTATGATAAATCACTATCTTCTACATTTAAAATGTAAATTTTCCTTTGGCTCAAAATTTTAGCCTTTCATGTTTGTTTTTCCTACTTATCAAAAAGAGGCTTTGGTTAAAAAGGAATGAGAAACACTGCCACATTACCTCAGTGGAAACTGACATGGTTTATTCAGGAACTCATTTAGCAAGCGAGGATTAAGATTAATTGGAGATCTGGATGTCCCTGATTTTGAAGGTTTCATGGTCTGAGGCTGACCTATAAACAGGTAAATCACATCCCATGTCTGAGAGTTGTGGAAAGAACCTAGGCTGAAGCCACACAGATCTGGGAGGAAATCACATTTCTTCCTTCTTAATGGTACCATCTTAAGCCATGCAGCTAAGCTTCAGTTTTCTTATCTGTAAACTAATAAGAACAAAACTAACTTCACAGAATTAAGGAGATGATTTTATTCAGGCCATAGCCATAGGGAGACTGCTCAAAGAAAAGAAATGAAAGTTTTATAGAAGCAGGTGAACAGGGGCGCCTGGGTGGCTCAGTGGGTTAAGCCTCTGCTTTCGGCTCAGGTCATGATCTCAGGGTCCTGGGATCGAGTCCCACATCGGGCTCTCTGCTCGGCGGTGAGCCTGCTTCCCCCTCTCTCTGCCTGCCTCTCTGCCTACTTGTGATCTCTCTCTCTTTCTCTGTCAAATAAATAAATAAAATCTTAAAAAAAAAAAAGAAGCAGGTGAACAAAGGAGTCATCATCAGTCTTATGGGAGCCATGAGGAAGTATGGGTAGGGTCTTATCTCAGAATATGAGAGGACAATGTGGTCCCTTAAAATTAGCTGGCTTTTTTTTTAGAACACAAAAGGGTGGGAGAGTTTTCTCGACTGTAGCTGCTTTCTTGGACCCTAGGGTTCAAAGTTCAATGTTGTCAATCATTTAGCATAGGGCCTGGACCATGGTAGGCTTTCAACAAGTGTTTCTTTCTTTTCCTTTCTCCAGTATAAGGATGTACAAAGTGGTGTGGGGTTCAGAGATGGGCCTAACAGATTTATTTTGCTTGGGAAAATTTGATTTGACAAAAGATCCTAAATTTTAAAGGATAAATGATGTTTTGCCAGAAAGAGGGGAAAAAATGAAAGCTTTCTAAATACGCTAACATAATAGGGAAGGGCATAAAGGCTTATAAGAGACATATTCAGAGACCAACTGTAACTTCAATCTGTTACAAAGAATAGCTAGACATGAGGTCGGTTTGAGCCAAATTATAAAAACCCATGGAAAGCCATTTAATGCTTACTATTTCAGGAAAACAATCCAGGAATGTATGACTCTATCAAGATGAGGTTTCATTTTATGAGACTGCAGTGTAAGGGATGGAAGCAGGGAGACCAGTTAAGAAGGTAGTATATGATCTAGAGAGGACCAAGGCTTGACCTAGAGTAGTGGCTATGAGGATGTCAAGGAGAGGACTTATTAAGAAGAGAGTAAAGAGAGTTTACTAGATAGATTATCTAGTTATGGGGAGGGGTAACATGCAAGTGAGGAAGAAGATGGACTAGTAAAGGATGATTATGTTAATAACAAATATACTAATATTTCTAGTGCTTACAATGTGCCCTGCATTGTTCTAGAAGCACTACACTTCTCTCTTTTAATCCACACAGTTCTATGAGGTAAGTGCTTTACTCCCCTCCATTTTCAGATGAAGAAAATGAGGCATAGAGAAGTTTAAAACCTTGCCAAGGTTTTCACAGATAGTAAGTAGAGACAGAACTGAACCCCAAGCTGTCTGAGTGCAAAGACTGAAGCTTGGATGACTTGTGCATACTGTTGCCATTTACTAGGATCAAAGGATATAGGATAGGGGGTCAAATTTATGGCAAAAGTATTTTAGTTTTGGACATGTTGACATTGAGTGCAACAAACAGTTGATTAAATGGATTTTGAGCTCCGGGGACAGATAAGACCAGAGCTGGAGACTTGAGGGTTATCAACATATAGGTGTGTGCTTATTAGGGGCCTCAAGACTGCCTTAGGTAAATGGGATGCACAAAAGTAGGGGTGGGGATTTAGAAGGAGGGGGATGGTGAAACAAGCAAGGGGAAGCATTAGCTTGAAGACAAATTTGATCAATCTAAAGATTTCACAGGCAATGCCTTAGACTTGGAGAGCCCATGTTTAATTCAAGCCCATTCATACAGCTAGAGGGGTCCTGGAGGGACTGGAGGAAATTATGGTATGTGAAATAAGTTAAGCAGAGAAAGTCAATTATCATATGTTTTCACTTATTTGTGGAACATAAGGAATAGCATGGAGGACATTCAGAGAAGGAAGGGAAAAGTGAAGAGGGGGAGAATCAGATGGGGAGACAAACCATGACAGACTATGAACTCTGAGAAACATACTGTCGGTTTTATAAGGGAGGGGGTGAGGGGATGGATTAGTCTGGCGATGGGTATTAAGGAGGGCATGTATTGCATGGAGCACTGAGTATTATACGCAAACAATGAATCATGGAATGCTACATTAAAAACTAATTATGTACTGTATGGTGACTGACATAACATAATAATAATAATAATAATAATAATAATAAAAGATCTTAAAATGGGGAGATTATCCTAGATTATCCAGAATGGCCCTGAATGTGATCACATGTAGTTGAGGGAGGTAGTAGATCTTATACACACGAAGAAAAGGTAAAGTGAAGACAGAGCAGAGAGACATTTGATGATGCTGGCCTTGAAGACTGGAGTGATGTGGCTACAAGTCATGGACTGCCAGGAGCCACTAGAAGCTGGAAAAGACTAGAAATGGATTCTTCCTAGAGCAGCCAGAAGGACCATGGCCCTAGTAACACCTCAATTTCAGCCAAATAATACTGATTTCAGACTTTTGACTTCCAGACCTGTGAGATAATGAATTTCCATTGTTTTAAGCCACAAAATTTACAGAAATTTGTTATGCAGCCACAAGAAACTAATATAGTGTCTCCTCAAAGCTATCACTACTTAACACACTTTTTGACCCAGTAATCCCTAATTATCAAAAAGTATCAGGCCTCATTTGTCACATACTAAACATGGTGCTCTTGTTAGGTACTTTGGTCAGGTTTTCTTGGAACACATAGAATAGAGAGACCTTCAGCTTCATGTGGAATGAAAGGGGAAGGAAGCTTTTCTGCTTTCCAGAAAAGCAAAATCCAAAATTAGTCTCTAAACCCCCAAAGTGTTCACAAATGATTCCTTCAGACTTGGTACCTCCTCTGACTGGATTAGATCTTAAGGAGTCATATAAGCCATCTCCCTGTCTTTGGCTGTATGAAGCCAAGATCCTGAAGCTTAAAGGGTATCTGGTTTGGGGCAGATAACTGGCCTACTGGTTGGCATGGCTAGTCAGAACAGAGTATATGTCATTCAAGAATCATGAGACTATTACATCTTAGGAGAAATTGGCTGGGGAAAGTAGCATGTATGGAAAATGGATTGGAATTTGTTGCTATAAAGTGAAAAAGAGTTACTCATAGATACGTTCTTAAGATTGCTATCAACAGCAGAGAAAGACAAATATCATATGGTTTCAGTCATATGTGGAACATAAGGAATAGCACAGAGGACCTCAAGGGAAGGGAGGGAAAAGTGAATGGGAAGAAATCAGAGAGGGAGAAAAACCATGAGAGACTCTGGACTCCAGGAAACAAACTGAAGGTTACAGAAGGGAGGCAGGTGGGGGCAGGTGGTAACCCAGTGATGGGTATTAAGGAGGGCACATATTGCATGGAGCACTGGGTGTTATAAGCAAACAATGAATCATGGAACACTTCAGTCAAAAACTGGTATGTTGGCTAACTGAACATGATAACAATAAAAATATTGCTATCAACAGTTCTCTCTCAAGTGTTAGACTGGAAAATAATTTCAGTGAGAAATTGGGATGGAACCCTGAAAAATCTAGCTAACCTGTAAAATCAGAAGGGCTTCAGAAAATTGTCCTCCTGGCAACTCCAGAATCCTAAGGAATTATGCAGAAAAACTAAGTATATCTATGTAGATATTGAAACCAACATAGCAGTGGATTGTTGAAAAAGTAAAATCCTACAATTTCCGCTACGGAAGAGAACCTAGAGATCACCCAGTTTAAGCTCGTACCTGTACAGATGTGAAAAACCAGCAGATTTTCCAATCAAACTTTAAGTAATTCAATATTTCCTCTGTAGACTTGCTTCAGTGTCCACAGTGTTTTTCTTGGTCAGGTGCTGATTCATGGCAATAACAACATACTTATAAACGCATTCCTGGTACACAGGACAATCACATGCCTCCCCAGCCCACCAAACGGCGCAAAGCGAAATTCCTCGCAGTTTAGACACGCTCCTTGGGGTCTGGGAAAGAAGCACGTTAGCAACCAGGAAATTAGCGGAACCTTGAAGCTGAACACTTGGTGCTGGCACGGTTGCTTTGAGAAAAGAACACTTCCGGCTAAGGAAGCCTTGCCTCCAATTTGTGGGTCGGTCGGATCCTAGTTCTCGCGTTCTGATTTGCCACGCTAACTTAGGGAGGCGGGCTTGCGTCTGGGTCACGGTCTCCCATTGGCTGCTGGCACAGCGGCGGTTTGGAGTGAAGGTATCATGTTGAACTGAAAGCTGTGGGGAGTGCTGCGACAGAAGGCCTGCGGTGGAGTCCAGTGTCCGGTGGGAATCCGGGTCCGGCCAGGTGTAGGTCTCCTGGGTATGGATCGTGTGTGGAGTGCGTGGTGCGGGAAGTGCGTTAAAGAGAAAGGGTCGTCGCCATTTTGGGCCCAGCGCATCGTGGTCGCCTGGCTCAGTAGGGCCGAGTGGGATCAGGTGACGGTGTATCTGTTTTGTGATGACCATAAATTGCAACGGTACGCCCTGAACCGCATCACCGTGTGGAGGAGTAGGTAAGGCTGCCGGCTCAGCCCTCCTGCTTGCGTGCTGGTGGAGTCTCACTTCTTTCTTTGTAGGGTTCCTTTTACAAAGCCCAACTCTGCAATCTTCTAAAAGCCTAAGGTCCTTTGGAGTGATTTGGGCGTTGCCCGTTTCCCAAGACCCTGGGGGAAAGTCACAGCCAAGCTTTTGTACTAATCCCGTGTACGGAAAGGAAGGCGGTATGCTTCAACCACCTTCTTGTTAAATCTTCGAGCTTTAACCCTTACCTTCTTCTGTCTTGGGGAAGGTGCCAAAAGGACCGGTGTACCCGAGCCAGGGCTTAAGGAGTAGGTTTACAATACAACTGTAGGGTGGATTTCTGAGTCGAATTGGGCCGGGAGCGGGGGCGGTGCTGGCTAGCAAAGCCGTGTTTGGATGGGGAATCTCGGTCCAATTGGTAAGATTGAGTTGGGAGCAAAGGATGAAGTTTTCTCCAGCTGAATGAATTAAAGGTTTTAGAGTGAAAGAAAGGGGTGTGTTCACGCTTAATTGTTGGTGGATTGCCTAGCAGTTAGGTGTCCTTTGTAAACCCTAGCCAGCATCTCACACCCTGTATACAATTGGGTTGTATACAATTACGTTACCCTCCGTCTTCCTACTTTATTGATTTGTGTCTTGTCAAGCACTCTAGAGCCAGTTATGTCATTGGAATAATTTACAATGATCTAGGTTTTGAGGTGGTGGGTGGACCAGGGTAAGGGACCTTTATGATGGTGCTGGACTGTGGCTCTTTAGGTTAGGCAACGAACTACCCCTGGCAGTGGCTTCTACTGCTGACCTGGTACGCTGTAAGCTCATGGATGTAGCTGGTGGCTTGGGCCCTGATGAACTTAGACTGCTCTATGGCATGGCGTTGGTCAGGTAAGGCCTGCATGGGTAGGGGTGACGATGGGTTGAGGGATGGGGGTGCGGGTAGCCACTTGATTAGCAAAGCTTGGCTTTAGGTGCTACCTGAAGCAAAGCACCCCATGTGCCCCTCTGTATGGGTCATCCTGTGATTGTTTGACATGACACCTTTTGGTACCCCCTAACAATACACATTCCTTTTTTTTTTTTTTTCCCTGAGAACCTTCTGTCTTCCATTTTTCTTCTCTTTCTGGAATGTGGGGTGGGGGTGATTTACACCAAGTGATCTCAGTGAACCACCTCCAGCTTTGATAATTTGATTTTTTTTCTTCCCCTTTAACTCTTTTACCCAGAACTTTTCTGAATGGTCTGAGGTCCTTGGCCATGATTCAGTGTAGATTTTTCAACCCTCCTCCCATCCATACCTAGTTCCCCCTTCTGTTCTTGAACACTGAAAGGTTGCTGAGTTGAAGTGGACACTGAGTTCCTGATTAACAAAATGATATAGAGTGGTTGTAGCTATTTCATACACATCAGAAAAAAGACTGTCACTGAATTTTCTCACCTGTCAAAATCTGCTCATTTCATACTGTTTACTTTGTGTGCCTTGAGGTCCTCCCTAGCTCTTCTTACCTTCTCCATCATTTAGGTGGGCTCCTCATATTATTTGATATAGGTAATCTTTTGTTTTATCATTTATAACGTGATCTAGCACAGTATGTTTTATTCTGTCATGATTATTTATCCTAGACTGACCTCTTCAAGTCCAGAGCAGTGTCTTCCTCATTTGTATGGCTTAAGTACAGGGCAGATATCCCTGTGCTGGCTGATACCAATCATAAGAAGAGGACAGAACAGTTAGTGGAAAGTTGTAGAAACTCCGGGTGTCAGTAACTTAGCAAGATGTTTTGAAGCCCCACTGGTTTGAGTAAAACAGTTCTTTGGGCTATGCCACTTATTTCTTCCCCAACCCCAGGTTTGTGAATCTTATCTCAGAGAGGAAGACAAAGTTTGTCAAGCTCCCTCTCAAGTTCCTGGCTCAAGAGGTGTGTATGACAAAATGGCCTTTTTTAATTCTCTTTCCCCAGAAGGGCTCACTAAATGGGGGATGGGGTGTTACGGGCACACAGTCAGACTAGCTCATCCCCCCACTACCAGCCAAGCCTAACAAGAACCCCAGAGCCTCAGCCTCCTGCTTGAAAGAAGCAGACTTTCTCCCTTGCTCATGGCTGCTATCTTCAGTGGCTTGGCTTGTCCAGCTTTTTGGGAGTGGGCCAGTGAAGCTGAGGCACTGGAATGCTCCATTGGGTAAGGACAGGAAAGAGGTAGCAGTCCCAGCACTTGCCTTCTCGGAGCTAGCTGACAGTCTGAGGGAAGAGACAGGCTCAGCTGAGCAGCATGAAAATGTCTGACATTCCTGCCCTGAGTGAGTATGTGAGGTATGTAGAAGCCCAGAGGGCAGGCAGGTTCTCAGCCATCAAGAGAAGCTTCCTGAGAAAGGGCGTGGGAGGAAGGGAGGAAGGATAAAGGGTACCCAGGGATTGAGACTCATAGGGCAGAGGAAGGCTGGGGGTGATTGTTAATACTCTTTCACAGGAATCTTTGTTCAAAGAGGGTGGTTGGTGTTGGAGGAGGTAGCTATCTTTTCTGATTTTCCAGATTACCTCCCCAGAGCAGTAGAAGGAATAAGGAGACCATGTTTCTAATCTTGGCTCTGCTGTTAAGACTGAAACTTCCTCAGGACCTCAATATTTTTTATCTATAAAATGTGGGGAGGCCAGGGTAATTCATCTCTTTGGTCCTTTCCAGCTTTAATATTTTCTAATTTCTGTACTCACACCCTCCCTCACAATCAGATAAACATTCCGGATTGGATTGTTGAACTTCGCCATGAGTTGACACACAAGAAAATGCCCCATATAAATGACTGCCGCAGAGGTGAGTTTTCAGGGATCATACCTATCATAGTTAAGCCCAGGGGCCTGGGCTGGGGGGCACTGTGGGGAGAGGGAGGAGGATCTCTAACTGGTGTCAGAGCCAGAGCTACAGTGAGGCAAGTGAGGCACTTGTCTTGGGCACAAACTTTAAGGGGGTGTCAGAAGCTCAGTAATCAGAATAAATAACATTCTGATGTGGAAAAACCCACAATGAACAAAATGCCAAAATTTTAAAGACAGGATTACTGGTGATTTCTCCTTTTGCTTCAGACTCCAGTACGGCTTGGGAGCACACTGTTCTGATCCTGTTTTAATGTCTTGATTACTATGTTTTTTGGCATCCCCTTAAATTTCATACCTAGAGAAGTGAATGGGGAGCAGGTTGAGAGGTGTGAGCCATCCAGTGTCATGAACCCAGGGGTTCTTTAGACACCCCATCCCAACTGATTCAGCCTAGTCCCTTCATGTTGGGGAAGCTGAGATACAGATAAAGGAAGAGACTTGGCCAGCACCCTGTAACTATCTAGTGGGCCTGGGTGCCTCTTCTTCACTTGCCAGCTTTGTGTTATTTTTGGCATTCCGTCTCTAATACTGGTATTAGTTTTTTGTGAAAGGTGCTGATGAGCAGAAAAAAGCAAAGAATAGGGAGATAACCCAGAGCAAGAGGGGCTACCTCTAGATATTTGAGATTTGTGCCTTCTTGGAGCCAACCATCTTTCCTCAGTTCTTCCCGTAATGCTTATAAGAGGAGGCTAAGGGTCTGCTAGGAGCTTGTTTGCCTTTGGCTACTCCAGTGACACTGCCTTCCTTCCTCCTCTCCTTTAGGCTGTTACTTTGTTCTGGATTGGCTTCAGAAGACTTACTGGTGCCGCCAGCTGGAGAACAGCCTGAGAGAAACCTGGGAGCTGGAGGAGGATAGGGAAGAGACAGATGAAGAAGACCAAGAGGAAGATAAAAATATTGTAGTTGATGACATCACAGAACAGAAACCAGAGCCTAAGGATAAAGGGAAAGGTGCAGAACTGGATATCAGGGTCGATGGAGACAGTGAAGGCAACAAAGAGGTTGATTCACATTTGAAAAAGGCTCTGAGACATAAAGAGCTATATGGTAGGTGTCCTTGGGTCGGATGGGGGGCATAGAGGGGCCCCTGAGTCTGTAAGACTCAGACTTAGGGTTAACACTGGTTATTTTCCTGACTCAGCAATTCCTCTGGGGTTGTGGTGAGTTTTAGCTTAAAACAGTTACTGTCACAAACCATTTTCCTTGAACCCTGTGAAGTAGGAGAGGGAAGAATTCCAGTTCCCAATTTACAACTCAAGAAGTGAGATGAGAAGGGCCCAGAATCCCATAAGGAGCAGAGGGCCAGGCTGCCCTATCTGTTTCCATATTGTATTTTCAGAAAGAACCCGAGAACTGCTGGTCTCATATGAAGAGGAGCAGTTTAAGGTAAGAAAGTGCCCTTGACTTTGTGTGTTTTCATTTGCCCAGCCATTTCTTCCCTCTTGCCAGCTTCCTGAGAGAAGTCCTGAGAAGGAATTTGAAAGAAAAGTGGCAGAGCTTGAGGGGACTTCTCGGAAAGAGAGGGGGGATCTAGGAAGGAGACAAGAGAACCAGAATCCAGTTGGCTGATCCTCCACACCAATGGAAGAGAGCAGATGATGGAAGTCTGGATAATCTGTCCCACTGGGTGGTAGGGAACAACTGGGCATAGGTGGTTGCATAGTCCTGCAATACTGCAGCTGATAAGCAGATGGCACCCAGGAACTTTCCTAGATCAGGTGAGCTTGAGGGGTGCTATTTTAGCAGGAAGGGAGGTAGCTTAGAGACCATTCAGCTTGGCTCTTCCTTTTCACAGATGAAGAAATAAATTGAAAACACAGATGAGTGAAGGGACTAGCCCCAGGTCACATATGCAATCAGTGATAGAACCAGAATTAGAATATCAGTGTCTTGATTCCCTTTCTTCCATAACCCATTGCTTTTCCTCATTCCTGGACCCAAGGGTCTCTGGCCTAATTCCAACAAAATGTCCTCACTGGACATCTCAGTATTGGAGTATCTGGTGGTTGGGAGCCACAGGGAATACAGGGTGGGGAGGGAGGGAGAAGAAGGTCTGCCTTTCCAAGAGTCAGGATATTTTAGATTGTGGGCTCAGTAGGGAAGTTGTGGGCCCACCCCTGCATGTTCTGCCTATCTCATGAAGGGAAGTGCTGAGAGGTCCTATGGGAAGGGATCCTTGAAGGGTGGAAGAGGGTTGCTTGGTTGAATCAGGGTTCTGATGGTAACTTCTTTGCTGGCAGGTGCTGGAGAAATTTAGGCATTTACCTCAGGCTGCTAAAGCATGGAACAACCTGTCTCCACCTGTAGAATGCATCCTGGCAGAGCTCAAAGGCATTACATGTGAGAACAGGTGTGTAACTAGGTAATTAGGGGCTCTCTAGCAGCCTCACTGAAATAGGCTTCCATATCCCAGCTTGTCAACCTTTGCTGTAAGGAAATCTTACGGATAATCCCGATCCCCTACCAGATGACCCAATTCAGCCAGACCCTTTTCCCCTGGCCCTGCCAGCTGCCAGGTAGGGATTACATACTCTGAATCACTAAAATGGCCAGGGACAGGAATGTCTACTGTCCTCAGTCCCCTTGCCAGCTTTGTTCCTCTCTGTCCAGTGGTATGTAGGAAAAGCCCTTCATCCTTACCACTTCACTGTCTAGCCCATGTTCAAGTTTGAGGTAAAAGATACAGTGAGCCCTGCTGATTTTTTAACTGCAAGTGGGGAATAATCATGTCCCTTGGGTAGGATAATCATGGTTGGGGGAACAAAGGAGAGGCTTCCCCAGAATCTGGCTCTTTGAAAGAGTAAGTTCCTCCCTGCTCAGTGTGGCCAAGAGCCTCCCCCCACCCTCCAAAGAGCGCTCAGTTCAATCTGGTGCAGAGAGTACCTATCAGTTCCTCTCCTCCTTAGCTCTTGGATCTTGCTACCCAAATTCAGCTGGAAAGGGCTTTGAGGAACCTTCCACTAAGACCCTGTGAAGGCATTGCTAGACCTTCCAAACTAGGGAGAGATTGGAAGGAATCTGGAATGGGGCAGAGAGTATTAGAAAGGTCTTACAGGTGACAGGGTGGGCCTGGGTAGATGGCCTACAGTGCAGGTTGGGATTGCCCCTTGCATCTTCTTCATTCCAAGGATACTACTAATTCCAAAGACGTTTTTATCAGTGTCTGCCCATCCTAGGCTTCTTGGCCCCCTTCAGCAAAGGCCATCTCAGCAGCTGGGATAACTGTCCCTGTACCTGTGTTCAGGGGTGTCTGCCCGGTTATGCCGGGCAGGCAGCTGGCTGCTGTAAGTGCTCTTCCTGGATACTGATCTGAGAAGATGGGAGATGAATGGAAGGACAACTCTTTTCACCTCATACCTGGTGGAGGGAGGGATCTAAGCATGACAGCATGGTCTGACAATGCCTCTGGCCATTGAGACACCTTGGGAACTCATGTTCTCCCTCTAGGCCTGGTCAGCTAGGGGATCCTCTCTTGAGGGGAACTGCTAGATCTGCAGAAAACAGTTAGCGGTTGTTGGTTTCAGTTTGAGCTACATGGGTTGAGGGATTACCCCCTATAGCCTATGCTTTCAAACGTAATTCTGGGTTCTTGGGGTCCCTAGGAATAAGGTTTATATTTGCTCCTGCAGTTGAGTCCCCAAAGTTTCTGCTTCTAGGATTTGAAAGGGGGTAACTGGGGAGAAGGGAGGGTAAAAGACTGGAGGACTGTTAAGCAAAAAGACTGAGTAGTAGCTGAAGTCTAAAAGCCCTTGACCCTGTGACCCTAGGCATTACCTCCTCTGTGGGCCTGGGACCTTTCTCTGTGTGTGCTTTCAGGCTTGTTCAGCTGCTACCACCATCATTATGGGCCTTAGATCAGCGTGTGCTTAGTAAATGCTTATTCAAAACCTAGTTATCCTAGTCTTCGGCCCTGGCTCTGCCCCAGAAGGCTGAGGCCTGAGATCCAACTGTCAGCAGCTTTCATTTCCCATGCTGCTTTGCTCACTTGAGCCGGAGGCATAAGCTGCCTTGGGAGTGGGTAAGGAAGTAGAAGAGGGTCTTCTCCCTGCCTAGTTGGCTTAATTAAGTGTCCTCTTCCTCCAGGGAGGCTGTGTTGGATGCTTTTCTGGATGATGGCTTTCTCATCCCCACATTTGAACAGTTGGCAGCTTTGCAGATAGACTATGAAGGTATGGTCCTGGGGCCTCACTTCAAAGAGTATTCTTTGTCCTGGGCAGGAACACCAGGGGTGGGCTGGGTAGCCCAGGACTGGGAGGCAAGGGATGTTTCCTGCCATTCCATAGCCTCTAGAAGCCTGTCTCAGCTGAGCAGAACAGGTAGCACCACTGTTACTCAGTTGGTGGGCTATTCTTAAGTGGCCTGGAAGTGGGTGGGCTGGGGTGGGCTGGGGTGGGCTGGGGTGTGGGAGAGTCTTAATGTCATTATTGTGCTATGTTAATTGTGATTTAGCCACTTACTAGAGAGTTAGAATAGCAGAACTGGAAGGGCCTTGTGAGGTCATCTAGTTCAATATCCTCATGTTACAGATGGTCAGACTGAGGTCCAGAGAGGGGAAGGTACTGACCCAAAATTACACAGTGAGTTATTGACAAAGTTGAAGCTAGAACCAGAGCTTTTTTTTTTTAATACTTTGTGTTGAGTCTTTTTATTGTCGGATACTAACTGGTTTCTCTCCTTGCTGTTGTGCTCTTCTCTTTCTGTTCTGTGGTGGCAACTCTGTTGTTGTTGGGCGCCCCCCCCACCCCCTTTCCTCCCCACCTTCTCTTTCCCTTTGCTTTTCTTCTTTCCTCCCTCTTTTTTTCCTTTCCTTTCTTCTTCTCTCCCATGGGCCCCTGCCTCCCCTTCCCATCAACCTGTATCCCTCACAAACCAGAAAACGTGGACCTGAGTGACATCCTGGTGCCAAAGCCATTCTCTCAATTCTGGCAGCCTCTGCTCAGGGGCCTGCACTCCCAGACCTTCACACAGGCCCTGCTGGAGAGGTTGCTCTCTGAGCTGCCAGCCTTGGGTGACAGCGGGATCCGGCCCACCTACATCCTCAGATGGACCATTGAACTGATTGTGGCTAACACCAAGACTGGTGAGGGAGACTAGCCCTAGCCTCAGGGCCTAACACAGCCCAGGCAGAAGCATCTGCCGCTGTCCTCAGCTCTCAGTTGAAAGGCACCAGGTGGACATTCCCCTTGTTAAAGATTTAAGCTTGTCCAGAAGGGCCCCGCAATAGCAGTGGACAAATCTTCCACCTTTTTTTTTTTTCCTTTGGAGCCAAGTAAACTGGTCTGGGATAAAAGGGCCTGAAAGCTTGAGCAAATGGGAGGTACAGAGTAGGGAGTCTGGAGGAGTAGGGAGGGACAAAGCCAAGCTTTTAAAGGTATAAGATTGAGGGGGAGGCTTATTGGTTCCTTCTCCTCAGACCCTCTCTTCTCTCTCAGGACGGAATGCTCGCCGATTTTCTGCAAGCCAGTGGGAAGCCAGAAGGAGTTGGAGGCTATTCAACTGCTCTGCCTCCCTTGACTGGCCCCGAGTGGTTGAGTCTTGCTTGGGGTCCCCTTGCTGGGCCAGTTCCCAACTCCTTCAGCTGTAAGTCTCTTGAATTCCATCTGGTAAGAGGGTAAGGCTCCATAGGCCTCAGGGACACACAGCCCTAGAGTGGCAGAATTAGTCATTTGCAAGGACTCTGAGTCCTGTTCCCTTCCTACTAACAGATGGGAGAACTGAGATAGGGAAGAGGTAGGGAATTCTTGCCTAAGATCACACAACTTAAGACCTGTCTCAACTGAGTCTGTTTTGAGAACGGATGAGATAATTTCCTCCCACCCCCACAGTGCTTAGCCCAGTGGCCTGTACAAAGTAAGGGCACAATAAATGATAGCTGCTATTTATCATTGAACCCAGTCTTCTGACTCTGAGCCCTGTGCTTTCTCCTTTGTTATCTCCCCGAAGTATATCTCTCCTAGGTGCTCACCAACCTTCTGATGAAGTCTAGGCTTCTTGGCCTGACATTGAAACATCTTTCTGATTCTGCCCCAACCCATCATGGTAACTGTACCTTCTGTGAGTCCCCTTTACCCAATCTACCTTGGGTGCTGTGTTAAACTGAATATTGCACTGGTTCCTGTAAATATCTGTGGTTGTCTCCATTTCCTTTTCTCTGTCATATTCTGACCCCGAGCCACTTCTTTCATAACACGCAGTTCTCTTCCTGCTTTCTGGAATAATAACTATTTCATTTGAGTGATCCATCTGGCACTCTTCATCTCCTCACTCCAGTGACTTTCATTTTCTACTACGCTCTGCAACACATTTCCATCATTCAGAGCTATTCCCCCTCTGAAACCTGACATCCCAGCATCCCACTCAGTGGCCATAACCTCTTATCCTTCCATTTCTCACCCTTGCATCCCATGATGTTAGCTCTTTGCCTGCCTCCAGACCTCTATACCTCCATTTCCTCAGCCTTGCTTCTCCTCCATCCCGTGTGTGGTTGATCACTTCAACCACTCATCGTCAGGACCCTCATCTGTGCCTTTCCTTTGGCGTATTTGACTTGCCAACCCCTGAGCTGGGATTGATCCTCCCCATTCTGCTTCTGCCACTCCTCAGTCCAAGTAGCTAAGCTGTGCTGGAGAAAACTACGTAGCATTGCGGATTGCTGCCACTACAGAGGTATGATTTTTAATCTCAGTCCAGGCCTCAGCTCTGTTTGTCTGAACTTTTTACTGTTTTCTTGTTTTCTGCCCTCTTTCTCTCCTGTTTCCTGACTGTTCTAAGCCCTTACCACTCACCTCAACCCCCCCCACAATTTCACCCTGGCTTCCTCGAGCATCCAGCAGGGCCCCTCCACCTGAGGTCTACCCTCGTGAACTGATCTGCGATGACACTCTACCATCTTGCCAGTCTCAGGATGAGGTGGCCTTGCCCCACCTCAGAGCCTGCTCCTACCTATTCTCTGGAGCCACCTCTGCCAACATCACTGGGGCCTCAACCCTGCTTCTCCCTTGCTCTTCTGGCTCTTCCTCTTCATCTTATGAATGTGTCTCGGTTTTTTTCCATCTTTAAACAATAAGCAAAATCTCCTTTGACCCTTAATCCCTGTGTTGGGTAATCAGCAGCATATCAGTCCTTTCCCCCAACCACGGACCACCATCAGAACATCTCAAAAGAGTAGTCTGTACTCAACAGTCTTGATTTTCTCACTACCCTTTTATTCCTCAAGCTTCTGCAATTTGGCATTTAACTCCCAAGTCTGCTTTGACCTCCTAATTACCAAATCCACCGAGCCCTTGTCCGTTGCTGTGTCTGCTGCATTAATGGCTGTTTACCACTCTCTCCTTGAAATGCCTGTGCTTTTTTCCCCAGTTCCTATAAAGTACCAAGGCCCAAATTTCTTTATCTATCCCAGGCCCCTCCCCCAAGATTCAGCCTCCTATATTTGACTGTATGTCAGACATCTCCCCATGGATGGCCCACAGATACTTTACTGTGACCAAAACACTGGTCATCTTATTCTCAACCCAATCCTAAAGTGATCTTTCTCTTTTGCTCCCTATCTCACTTGGTATCACTATCTGTGCTGTTATGTTGATTCTTAAGCACTTTCCAAAACTGAGAATTTGTTTTGCCATGTCTTCTTCCCATAATGTCTCCTTCCCTCTATAAGAGAAGCTTTTTAAAGGTAAGGGCTCTGTATTAGCCATCTGTGCCCTAAACCACGACACAAATCCAGACCCTAAACAGACCTCAGTAAACATTGTTGAACTAAAGTATACTCTGCTCTCTCATTGCCAGCAGTGCTCTCTTTGCTGGGAGCTCAATTTGTGCTTGGGGACTGAATGAAGTGGGAGTCTAGATGCCAAGACCCTCTTAGTCCCCTGATCCCTCCATAGAGTCAGAAAGTCATTCTTGAACCCTGATGGCATTTGGGGCACAGTAGTAGTTGATAAGAGGAAAAAAATGTAGCTTTGTAGAGAAAGGAAGGTAGGGCAAGATATCCAGCAGATGGAACTGAACCAAAGAGCCAGATGTCCAGATGTGTATGATCTAGACTTGAAGTGATATGGATGGGTGGGAAACTGGGAGGAGAACCAAAAAGACCTGGAGGGGTCAGAAAAGCATGACAGACAGGGCATTTGAGCAATTCCAGAAGAATAAAAGAAGCTACAAAGTCTGGAAAGACCACGACATGTGAAGGTAATGGGGGGAGGGAATGAGAAGAAAAGCATGGAGAGGTTTGGATAGGTGGCCTTCAAGGTGCTTTCCAATCCTAAGTGCCTGCAGAGTGGAAGCTGCTGGTCTTGAAGTCTGGACCACAGAGATCTCCCAATCCAAGCATACCAGAGGGATGTGACTCATGCTGGCAGTAACAGCGGCTTACTTGGGTACAATCCTTGTGCACAGATTTTGCTTTTCCCAGGTAATAAGTGAATCTAGAGTCCTAATCACCCCACCACACAGGTTGAGACATAGGATTATCCTAGGTATTGGACTGTAAGTCAGCGGTAAGTCTGCAAGTCAGAGCTAGAGCCAGAATCCAGATATCTTGTCCTTACTCCCGTGCTCTTTCTCTAATGTTCCATTAGATTACATGATTGTGAAAAGCATGTGTTATTAGGCACATAGAGAACCTGGCTTTGTTTTCCCCAGAAGGAGAAATAAAAGATACCACTGGCAGTTAACTGTCTCAGGCATGGTGCTGTGTTTTTTGTAGAAGTAATTTCCTTTGACACAGCAGTCTTTGGAGGTAAAGGATTATATCCTTATTTGATAAGAAAGACATTGGAGCTCCAAGGATTGAAGTGATTTATCCAAAAGCTACACAGTTTGTTGATGGTGGGACAAGGATTTGGGACCAGGTTTTGTGAGTCCAAATTCCACATTCTTCCACAACCTGACCTGTGACCAGACAAACCCGAGGAGAGAGATGCATTTTAGGACTCGTATCACCCCTACACCTCAGTGGTCACACTAGACAGCTTGAGATAGCAGGTGGGTAATAATAAACAGTGGTGATAACAGCATCTTTCCAATATCAAGTGCCTGGGAATATTTATTATTAATCATACTAATGGACCATAGTGAGCAGGAAGAGCATCTTTGGCTTTTCCTCCAAAAAGCCTGGAAACTTTTCAAGACCTTTCCTGAAGCAGCCAATATCAATTCAGTTTGAGTCAGTGTCCTCTTGGAATATGAAATTAGCCCTGTAGAAAGGGTGTTCCAGTAAAGTCATTAGCCTCCAGCCCCACCCCCAGTGACCAGAGACCATATGGGGCCAGAGAGCCTGCTGAGCATAATGGCAACCTCCATGAATGTCTCACAGTTCAGTACACCTAGAAGGAAACTATTTGTCTACTCCATCCACACCTCCAGCAATGACCAGATCCCTGGTTTTATATGAGGCTCAGCAAGAGGTGTTCATGCTCTTTCTCCCTAGGACCTCTCCTTCCTATTGGCTCTGTGTTGCTGGTTTTGCTCTTAGCACCATCCTTTACGTGCACCCTCTCATCATCTTTAACTTCCCTCTGCCTGACCCTTACCATCAGTCACCAAGTCCTGCTCTCTGTGTCTTTCACAGCTTCTCTCCCCCTTGTTTCCATGGTCAGTGCCCTAGGTCAACCCTTACCAGCTCCCTGGTCTCCCTGCCTCCAGGCCATCTTCCAGGCCATCTTCCACATCCTCCATGTGGCTGGCCATCCTCCACACAGGCACCATGTTGATCTTCAGAAATGGCAGTCATCACCTGTGCTTAAGAGTCGTCAGATGACCCCCTCTTCCTAGCACACACACTTAACTTTTGCACACTTCTCTTCCCACGGCTCCCAGCACAGCCCTTCACCCGGAGCCAGGGTACTCCCACCACATGTATACAGTATAGTGTGCTTACTCTTGTCTCTGCACAAAGCCCTCCCTTGATCTCTCCTGCCCTCCTTGTACTCTCTGCCTCTCCCCAGTTCCTGTAGTGCCCAAGGTCCACAGTGCTCATCTGGCTTCCCTCTCACATCTCACTTTGTCTTGTCAACTGCTGGTTTCTTTTCTTTTTCCTCCATTTCAGGCAGGACTGTAATTACTCCTGGAAAGGGGTCACATTTTGTGTTCCAGGCAGAAGCAGCCCAGCACGCTTGGAGGCGTATCTTTGGAGCTCAGAACAAATTGCTTGGCTAGGCCAGGGGAACAGACGGTTCTGCCATTCTCATGTCCAGTCCTGTTAGCCTGTTGGCTAGTTTTTGTATTTACGTAGCATTTAGTACAGATGAATAGCTATCATTTATTGCATGCCAACTCACTATGTGCCAGGCACTGTGCCAGACATTCTGTGTGAGCTATCTTACTCTTCCCAACAACCCTATAATTCAGGTGCCGTTATGCTATTTTACTGAGAGTAGAAGTGAGCCACAGAGATGAATCACAGTGCTTGTTCAGGGGCCTCGGTCCTGTTTTTGGTTTGCTCTTCTGCATTGCCTTTCAGAGGCAGGTCTGGAAACTTAGAGACCATGTTCAAACCATGGAGTGTTGGGGTATGAAGTGAGTTGAGATTTTGAATCTGTCTTACTCCATCCTTCCCTTTGCTCAGCGTCTTCAAAGCCATGGGACAGGTCCTGCCAGACGAGGAGCAAGAGAGGCTGCTGCGCATCTGTTCCATTTATACCCAGACTGGCGAGAACAGCCTAGTACAGGAAGGCTCAGAGGCCTCCCCCATTGGGAAGTCCCCTTACACACTGGACAGCCTGTATTGGAACCTCAAACCAGCTGGTTCCTTTGGAATTGAAGGAGAACCCCAGCAGCAGGAGGAGCAGGGCAGACTTAATGATCTCAAGAAAGATGAAAAGGAGGAGAAAGATCTGGAAGATCAGGTGGAGGAGGAGGAAGAGGAAAATGATGACCAGAAGTGGGAGGAGGAGGAAGAAGATGAAGATGATGAAGATGAAGATGAGGAGGAGGAAGAGGTAGAAGAGGAAGACAGAATGGAGGTGGGACCTTTATCTACTGGGGAGGAGTCTCCCACTGCTGAGAATGCCAGGCTCCTGGCCCAGAAAAGAGGAGCTTTGCAGGGCTCTCCATGGCAAGTTAGCTCTGGTAAGAAACCTGATACTCACTTTCCATCACACCAGTTTTCCCTCTCCAGGTGGTTCTTGAGGCTTCCCTCCACCCTAGAGAAGAGATGGAAAGTAATAGAAGCCAGGGTGAGGCAAGACTGGGAAGCAACTTGATGTGTAGATGACACCTGGTTTTCCTCCCCTTTAAGACAGTGTGTTTAAGCTTCAGGGCCCCAACAACTGTCACTACTGGCTGCTTCATACAGTGCCCCATGGGATGGTGTGGTTATGGGCACTGAGCAGCAAAATACAGAGGAGATAGCAAGGGGTGGGTGGATATATGTGATTCTGCATGTGTTTTTTGCATGCAGTGAATCAGGAGCAGGGAGACAATAATGCTTTCTATGTATATGTGAATGTGTATGGAGGCTGGGTGGTGATGAGACAGGGTTTTGCTGTATATATGAGAAAGCGGGAAACCAGGGGTATTAAGTTAGAGGAAGGGAAGGGAGATCAGAAAAGTGAAAATAAAGGAGTAGTGTGGTTTTTAGGTGAGGATACAAGTTAGTGAGACAAAGCCTGGAAGTGGAAAGAGAATATTAGGAGATAAGAAAGTGGGACTACACAAATCTCCTTCTGAGGGATGTGTTTTCAGTGCCTTTGCTTAGGTTAGGGAACAGGAACCTTAAGCAGAGAGATCCTGAAGGAATGAACAGTTTGGTGTATATGTCAGGGTAGGGGGACGTGTGTATGTGTACATGCTGGAGGTAGGGGTAGATGTAGAGAACAGCCAGTGTGATGAAATCTGAAAGAGGGAAGGAAGGCAGCTGGAATTGTGTATAGTATAGAGTGGGCATGATAGGGAACAACAGAAAGAGAGGGGAGGTAGCAAAGGAACTTAGGGGGAAAGGTAGAGCCTTTGCTGGAAGGGCTGGGGCATAAAGGCACTGAGTGTTAGGTGTGAGGGAGTACCTTTATGTCTGTGTGGTGTCAGAGAAGTCTCTTAGGGCAAGGAGGACTGTGTTTGGGGCCTTCGTAGATCTTGAATGGGAGAGGCATTGACATAGGCAAAATTGTATATGTGTGTGAGAGAGTAGGGGCTGTGAAAGAAGTCATTGTGAAGTAGACACTATGCATCTGTGCATAAATGCACACAGGATCATGTTATGTTTTTGGAAGAAGAGGCAGGATCACTGAGACCTTTGGGAGCCAGGAGGTATCTCTGAGGAGAAGTAGCAGCAATGAGAGGTGGGGGTATATGGAAAAGTGTGAGAACAGGCAGTGAGACAACCATCCAGAAGTAGCCCATGTATGTCTCTGTTGTCACTGAGGGCCATGTACACAGATGTCAGTCTGGAGAGGCAGGGGCTATGATGTACACAGGGTTGGGGATGTTAGTGTTGGGGCGGCAGGATGATCAGGTCAGTGACAAACATGGGGGAAGTGTCCTTGTGTATGAAGGTGTTCTTATATTTATAGGGCAACACAGGACATTAAGACAGGCACAACTTCTTCCTGTAAAAGAGTCAGGGTGGGTGGTTCTCTGGGTAACATGAAAAGCTAGTCCAGGAGTGAGTTTCCAGAATGCCAGGAGCATTATGACAAGGAGAATTTTCTGGGTGCCAGGGAGATGGAGGAGGCCAGAAACTGGATCTACTTGAGAAACTCATGAAAGCTTTACTTGAAGACTTTGGATGTACTGGTATAAGGATGGGAATGAGGGTTTCCTATAATACTACATAGAGGGTATATAAGTTATTAGGCAGAGGGTAGGGAGTAACTGATACGGTTCATTCTAAAGTGGAATATCTGTCGTGGGGCGGTGGGAGAGTAGTTTATGAAAGTGGAAAGGCTAGGATATTAAGGTCTTTTCTTCTCTCTTTCCATTGCTGCTTCTGTGGGCATACATATATACAGGGGCTAAGACTTCCCATGCATTCTTATATACCTGTGAATGAGAGGTGTAGGAGGCAGGGAGTGAAACTGGGAACATTCAGTGAATGGTGGGTTCTGTCTGTGTGTTTGTGTATATATACTTAGGTGGCAGTGGGGAGTGAGATATACAGTAAGACATCCCTTCCCTAGATAAGGGATGTTCTTTGTGTTTACATCTGGGGGCAGTAAGACCTTGCAGGGGGCAGGGGGAGTATAATACCTCTGAGAGAGCGTCCACCCTGAGGTGTGGTATGTGGGTGTGTGTATATGTATCTCAAGGCAAGGCCACTAAAAAATGATGTGACATTCAAACACATTGAGAGTGGGGGTTGTGTGTAGACATGCAGGAAATAGGTAATTCAGATACTCTGAGGTATCTGGGTTCGGGATAAAGGTGTGGGAATTCTGGAGCATCCAGACTCTCAGGATGTGTGTGTTCAGAAATAGAGCAGGTGAAAGGCTGAGGCAGTGATACGGCCAGAACTGAAGAAGTTGTCCTTGTCTGTATTTGTGTTGAGGGCATGTCTGGGGACATGGAAGAAGAGCTGAGAAGAACAAATACGATTGTAGTTGTGTGCATGGCATCTGTGGACTTGGGGGTGGGTTGTGGTGTCAGGGAAGAAGGGCAATAAAGAGTGAATAAGGGAGTATGGAAGGGGTGGGGAGTGCAAAGAGAGGAGCTCACGACAAATGATGCAGACAGAAATGAGGCTGGACTTGCACAGAAACCCCATGCTGAGCAGACTAATGGAGATGAGCAGGTAGATCGCTTCTTGGCCTTTGGGGCTAAGATCAAGTGTAGGTGGGCAGGTAGACCTTGTAGGCAGGCCTGTATACCGGTTTGAGAACTAGCTAATCAGCCCACTCTTGCCTCCTCCCTTTGCTCCACAGAAGATGTACGATGGGATACCTTCCCCTTAGGCCTAATGCCAGGTCAGACTGAGGACCCAGCAGAGCTTATGCTGGAGAATTATGACACCATGTATCTTTTGGACCAGCCTGTGCTAGAGCAGCGGCTGGAACCCCCAACATGCAAGACTGGGTGAGTGCCCATGGCAGCAGGATTTCTTAACCCCTTTCTCTGCCTCCTGCAGGAGGGAGGGAGGGAGGAAGGGAAGGACCAAAGTAGGATGGGTGGGGGGGTTAAATGAGTGATGTGTAAGCTCTGGTCCCTGACTGGGCCCTTGACAGGACTCCCAGTCCCTAGTTGGGGGTTGGGGTGGGCATTGAGGTAGCCATGCAGAGCTGGCTTGGCACCCTTCAGATTGCTTCCAGTTTGTGTGTGTCTGTGTGAGAGAGACAGAGATGGAGACAGAGAGTGTATGTATGTGTGCACACACATTTTTGGGAGGAGAGAGTTCCATAGCTTTCCTTGGATTCTCTAAAGGGTCCACCACTCCCAAAAGGTCAAGAACAGGTTCTGTAATCCAACTTCCTTATGTTCCTGAGGAGAAAACTGAGGCCCAGAAAGGGGATGGGATTTGTCCAAAGGTGCACAGAGTAATCAGTAGGCCTCCCCACACTGTCCAGGCATCTTGGTAGCAAGGCCTGTGCAGGGCTCCATGCTCTCCCTCGAAACTCGCCTCTGGATCACAGGCGTGGGAGCCCTTGGGTCATCAGGGAGCCAGGAACCAAGCAGCCCTTGCTGAGGGGCTCTGCTGGTAACACAAAGGAGCCCGTCCAGAGGGCCTGTACATTCCGGAATGCGGGGCCATTGTGATCAGGAGAATCCTGTGAGTACCAGAGAGAGAACTCTGTGGGCCCCTGAAACTGAGAGTGTGTCCCTGTGCTGCCTACCCACTCCCTGGGAAATGAGCCCCTCTTCCTCTGGACTTTCAGGGAGAGAGCTATAGAACCCAGGGACCCCAGCAGCAGGCCAGGCCCAAGGCATTGCTGTGGATTCTGTCCTAGGCCAGGGGGCAGCAGGCCCTTGGAGAGGAGATGCAGCTGGGGAAACCAGGTGGTCTATAGTTGGGAGTGGGGCCCACATGTCTGAGAGACCTCTTCTCCCCTTGGGTAAGGCTGGCTTGATGAGCATCGGGGTATCAAGTATTGGCAGGAGGAGCTGTTAATTCCCCAAGGGAGCTGATTCTGTCCAGTCCCCACACCCCCTGTAGTAGGGAGGTTTCCTCTGCTGAAGCAGGCATGCCCGTTCCTGCTCCTGGTCTCAGATCCACCTCTGACTTGGTTTTGTGGCCAGGAACAAGTCCCTTTTCATCTCTGGGCCTCAGTTCCCTTGTCTGTAAGATGGTGGGCAAGGGGAGGGAATGGGACTAGATCATCTCTAAGGGTTTTTTCAGCTGCAGTAGTGTAACCATGGATCTACCTGAGGGGAAGGATGATGGCTTTGCTCTCAGCTATCACCCTCATCTACCTGGAAGGACGTTCAGGAAGCAGGGGAAGCAAGAGTGTTCTGAACAGCGCCAGGGAGGGGAAAGGCAGTCCTCTCCTTAGAACAAACTTTTTTTTTAAATTTTTTATTTCTTTTCAGCATAACAGTATTCATTGATTTGGCACCACACCTAGTGCTCCATGCAATCCGTGCCTTCCCTAATACCCACCACCTGGTTCCCCCAACCTCCCACCCCCTGCCCTTCAAAACCCTCAGGTGGTTTTTCAGGATCCATAGTCTCTCATGGTTCACCTCTCCTCCCAATTTCCCTCAACTACCTTCTCCTCTCCATCTCCCCTAGAACGACCTTTTAATCCTGGGTTGGGATCTGGGCCTAGCCCTGTAGCCCAGTCCTGGCCTTGGACCCTTTATCCAGCTCTTGGGGGTGGGAGGGATCCAGCCAGGGTCCTCTGGGATCCCAATATCTATGGCCCTAGATAAAGGCCTATTAAGGTGGCCATGTTCAATATCTTCCTGGGGTGGGGGGGTATATGGGCACTCCCTCCTGCCTTGACCCAAATAGTTCTACTTTAATCTGATTTATATACTAGGGCTCTGAATAAAGTTTCATTTGAAAAGTTGTGCTCCTTCCCTCTTCTCAATTGTGGGGAAGGCAGAACGACCCCTGGGTCCCATCTGAAGTAGTTTCTCAGATTTGCTCCATAGTCGTCTTCATAAAACCAGGCAGGAGGGTGGGCCCTTTCCGTAGAGACACATCATTCAAACTCCTTTAACCCTTCCAGAGCCTAAAGTTGCGTCTTTCCCTGACAGACCCCTCTCCCCTCTCTCCACAGCACCCTTGGCTTGAGCTGTGGTGTGGGCAGTGACAACTGCAGCAACAGTAGCAACAGCAGCAGCAACTTGGAGGGCCTTCTCTGGAGCCAGCGCCAGCTGCATGGACTCAAAACTGGCCTGCAGCTCTTCTGATGCCCACACTGGTGCAGTGTTTCTCCAGCCCTGCTGCAGCAACAGCCTCTTCCCTGCCCCTGTTGTCCCCCTGCTCCTGGCCCCCACCAGTGCACCTGATGCTCCATGAAACAACCTGGGAGACAGTCCCATTCAGCCGTATCAGCTCCACTTTCTGCCACAATGGAATTTTGAATGTTTTGGGGTTTTTTTAAAGTTTTGTTTTGAAAAACAATAAACAGGCAACTGTTAATTTTGGTGTTTATAAGATAAGGGGGTGTATGCTGGAGCAGACCAGTGTAGTTCTTGCTTTCTTCTGAGGGACCCAGAGAAGATGTGATCATAACAGGACTTTAAGCAAAAGCCTGGTCCTTTGGCTCCTTGGGCCCACTGCTCCTAATTGTTTTCACCACCAGGCCCCACTCATACTTTCTTCCTCATTTGAACCATTTTCATTCCTCTCTGCTGTAGAATTGGGCCAGCTCACTTAGAAGCATCAGGCTCCAGAAGAGAGGTGTTGCTATAGAGCCCAGCCAGCATCAGGAGAATCTGCTCAGAACCTCCCTGACAGTGGAAAGCCACAGGCCTTCCTGAAGTTACCTGCAGGCTTTTGGCTCATTTCCTTGCTTATTCTCACTAAACAGCAATTGAAAACCAAAAAGAAACCTTTATTTTTCTACTCCTTTGGCCTGGAAAAGATAGAGTGGACATGACTGTGGTAGACACTGAAGCTAGAGGAATATCTTATCGGCTGACCTAGAGCTTCTGTATGTCACACAATTCTGCCAGACAAGGGTGCCTACTCTGCCAGCTCTGAGCTGCCAAGAGACAGGGATGAATATGTTCACACCCCTCTGAGCCCTCTGCCAAGTGAGAAAAGACAAATTGCCATTCATATAACCTGAAGTTCTGCAGAGGGAGCTCTCCTGTGCCACATGTTCTTTGTTTTTCTCAGGGTTATATTTTCATGGTGGAGGTTGATTGAGGTGAAGTCTGGCTACAGTATTACCTGTCCTCTGGGGAGAGTGATAGCTGAGCAAGAGAGTGGGCATTTCCGCAGGGCCAAGTTGGCCCCAGACAAGGGGAAGCATAGGACAGAACTAGGCAGCATTCCAGACAAGAAGCTGGCCCAAGGAGTGGCTGAGCTAAGGAATGAAGGAGAGGGCTTATGCTGTGAAAATGCCAAGGAGAAATTTAGTGAAAATGTCATGTCTGATGCCGTCAAAAGGTTAATTTGAGGTAGGACCCATAGGAAGCCCCCAACACTTCAAGTTTATCCTGAATATCTTTGTGTGTATGTGTATATAATCATTTTTCTAGAGCTGGCCCACAGACCTAAACATCATCAAAGTCCAACAGCCCAACAGGGTTAATATTTCCTATCTTGTGTGGACCCAAACATTAGGCATGGGCAGAGCAGTCTCTTGCACTGGTTAATGCAGTCCGTTTACCTGCAAATCTGACTTCTAACACAATAGTAAGTGCTGTCTTTCAGAATCCTGGAATATCAGAGCTGAAGGAACCCTCAAAGAGTAAATGTAATCTGGGAGGTAGCTCAGCGCTAGCTCCATGTGGGGATGGGTTCTGGAAACTCTTGGTTCCCCTCCACCACTTATCTGGAGCAGCCTGGATTTTATATATTGTGTATGTATTGGTATCCTATGCAAGATTTCTTTATTATTTATTTATTTATTTATTTAGGCAAATGGGTTTCGCTGCTAAAGAATTTGGAAATCATGGTTCTAGTCTAGCCCCCAGATTTTATGCACTAAGGCAGAAAAAAATGGAAGGGATTTGTCCGAGGGCGCAAAACAAGTTTATAACATATAGATACCAGTTGCTTGTAACATTGGTGTCATCTGGTTACTTGTTAGAAATGCACATTATCGAACTCCACTACTGACCTGAATTGGAAAGATTAAGGGTGAGCAGCAATCTGGTTTAACAGTCACCAGGTGATTCTGATGCATGCTAAAGTTTGAGCTGCACCAGAATGCAGAGGGAAAATCTGCCCAAAGATCCAAGTTCCAGGGAACTCCATCATTTTATGGGAGCAACTTTGAGTAAATTATGCCAGTTTCTTCATCTGTAAGAAAATAATATTTGCCTCATAGTTGTTGTAAGGTTCAAAAAATATAATAGATGTGAAAGTCATCTTCAAAGTGTACCATGCTTTGTATGTGTGAGTAGTGTGGATTCATAGCAGGATTAGTAGGCCTTGAACTCAAGACTCAATTCTGTATAACCTAGGTCAAAGTGCTTTACCCTGGCCTTCAAAGATGGGCCTAAAGATGAGGAGCAGACTACATGAGCTTATTTCTAGACCAGGTTCAGGGAGGCTAAGAGTCAAAGGTCATTGTTTGCTGGAGTTCTGAAACCTGGGTTCTGTGAAGTAGGTCCCTGGGAAGAGCTGCTTCAGATGGTGGGGTCAGGGGTAGGGTCAAGTGTGGAAGAGGGGTAGGGGAGGACTGGCCAGGAAGCACCAATAGCCCAGTGCCCTTGGACCTCTTCCTTCTGACTAGAGTTCAGAGAAGTGATTAGAAAAATTTATCAAACTGTACACATTTAACTGGGGAGCAAGAGTTGGGGATCAAGGGAAGGGAGTATATATTATATTGTTATTCAGTGACAATAATTGAGAGTCACCTCTTCTGATAATTCAGATGAAGTGATGAAGAACATGGTTTCTGCTTCTAAGGAACTCCTTTATTTGGACAGGAGTCTGCATGCCAACATAGTTGTAACAGAATGACAAGCACTAAGGATTGTTCAAAATGCCTACAAGGCCCACTGTAGGTAAGGATCAACAAAACGTGATCAAGGAGGTGGCGCAGCTTAATAAAGGAGGTGATATTAGCAGTGAGTTTTCAAAAGTAAGTTAGTGAGAACAAAGAGTAGAAGTAAGGTAAAAGTCTGGAGGGGATAAAGAAAAAGCATGGCATGTTGGGACACCAGTGAAGGGTCCAGGATAACTGGAACATTTTAAGTCGTGAGGTCAGAGAGTTAAGCTAGCGAGAGGAATGGTCAAACTAGTTGATTTCTCACCTACGATTAGAGAGGCACTGAATAATCAGTTGTCCCCTCTTGGAATTCTATTGTTATCACTCCCTCCAACACTCAGTCTGCCATTGCTCTCCAAGAAAATCTTAATTTATTAACTTATTCTGTAAGTGTGCCTTATTTCCTCATGAAAGTGTAAGTTCCAGAAGCTAGGAACTGTTTATTCCTCTTCTGTCTCTCCCTAGTCCAGTATAGGCCAGGTCCATATTTGGTACTCAATAAGAACTTAATTACATATATTCCTGAGTAATAGAGGAAAAAGGAAAAGGATAGGGAGAGATGAGCACTCTTAGTCCCAAAAGGATGATAAAAGAGAGAAATATTCTCAGGTTTATGAATAGCCCCTTCCAAAGTCTCAGGCTGGGCTTTCATGTAGCAACTGTGGTCATCTCTGCCCTTAGAATGGGACTGACTTGGATTGTTCAGGGGGTGGGGGTGGGGAGGTTAGGTTGGGAGTAGGAAGCTTCTGAAAAGCATGAGGGAAGAGCAGACATCACCGTAATAAAGAGCTCACTGGTGGGGCGCCTGGGTGGCTCAGTGGGTTAAAGCCTCTGCCTTTGGCTCAGGTCATGATCCCAGGGTCCTGGGATCAAGCCTTGCATCAGGCTCTGCTCAGCAGGAAGCCTGCTTCCTCCTCTCTCTCTGCCTGCCTCTGTGCCTACTTGTGATCTCTGTCTGTCAAATAAATAAATAAAATCTTAAAAAAAAAAAAGAGCCCACTGGCCTGGGAGCAAGGAGGCCTGAAGTTCCAGTCCATGGCTTTGCCATTACCTCCTTGTTAAGCCTTAATCAAATCTCTTTAATTCTTGGATCCTCAGTTCCCACACCTATAACCTGATGGAGTTGATGCAGCTGAGCATTCCACCAGTGATTTCTCTGCAAAGTATAGGGTGCCAGGCTGCTTCGAGCGCTGATATTTTGGTTAATGCCCAGCACATGATATTTCTGTGGCCCTAAGGCTATTCAGGGAAGAAACTAATCTGGGCCCTGAGCCCTCCATCTAGTTCTGACCTATGAGTGGAGGCTTGGCCCAGTCCAGGCCTATGAGAAACACCAGATGAGTAACACTTGAAGCTTCTTTAGTATACAAAGAGAAAGGAAGGCATTTGCTTACTGTGATAAAATTCAGATTGAACTCATTGGGGAGAACTCTCTTCTTGCAAGTCCCAAGGACAGATTTTTTTTTCTTGTAGTTTCAAGTTTTTATTGAAATTCCCCAAAGGCAAAAAAATGAGGTTTTTAGAAGAGATCTAGAGTATGTGTGTAGGTCGGTGTGGTATGGCTTTTGTTGTTGATGTTCTTAAAGAAACACAGCCATTAGTAGTTAGTAGACAAATAGTTTATGCAGAAAATAAATGTGTTACAGTTCATTCTCATCAATGATACAGCATTTTCAGTCATGATTATAGGTGAAACCAATTAAAACCTCATTAGGTAGTCATAGCACATTCATGCTAGTGAGAACATTGCAAAGCACTGCACCTGCATTATAGGGGTAGACAAAACTGGGGACGGGATATATTTTCACTCACCTCTGGTTGGCTTTGTGTATTTTTGTCATTGAGACTTACATTATGTTTGGGTCAAACAAAAAACCCAAAGCGGTTTTATAAAAGTTTACAACCATTAAACAGTATTTGTTTAATCCCACAAATGGATAAAGCAAACTACTATAGCTCAGTGATATACAAATCAGGACTAGAAATAGTCAATCTGCCTATGTATATAGCTAGCTACAATATGATAGACATTTAATATGCTGAGTCTTTTCAAAGGCATCAACTACTATAGACAAGCAGGTTCCCAAAAAATACTGGTTTGGTTTCCAGTGAGAACAAACTGTATTGCCACTTCAGTTTAAGACTATGCCCTCCTCAGTGTCAGACGTGAGGAGAAGAAAACTAGGGGAACGCAGAGAAGAATTAGGAGGACACATGAGCAGGGCTCTTTGGATAGCTTAACGTTATTTTCCCTGTGCAGTCTCAGACCTGGTTCACAGAGTAAAAGTGTATTGAAAGTGTTGGCCCTCGGAAAGGGCAATTGTACAAAGTCCCGTACTAACAGCATAGATAGAACAGTAACAGAGCGCCTCTCAAAATGAACTCTTCTATGTTAGAAGAAAGTTCAGTGGCAAAGGTTAATGTGTATTGATGTTTGAATTGCTGTATAAAGATAATTTATTCTCAAATAGAAAAGTAGATTTTCATAGTTCTGGAAACTAGCAGAGAGAGAGATTAAGAGAGAGAGAGTACTTATATTTATATTCTTACTTAGAAGAAAGAAAACTTTTACAGACCTTTTCCATAAGGCATCTGTCATTCTCCCTTCCATACTTTGCATTTTAAGAGACAGTGCAATGGCTATATGCTACCTTGAAAGGGCTCTTGTAACTGGATTGACCATGCCACTCCAGAATCACACTTCTTCAGGTTGAAATAAAAATAACAACAAAATCACAAAAAGAGAAAAAAAATCACAAAATCTACAAAATCTAAGGCCTGAGCAGGCACAGACTTGCTATGAATTCAGAAATTTAGTGAAAAAAATTAGAAGTACAAAGCACCTCTTGCAAAATATACTGGTCCTTGGAACCACACAGCACACTGTGCAGTAATTCTTGCTGAGTGCTTAGAGGTAAGTATTCTGCAGGACACATGCTTAACCCTAGAAAGGAAGCCTGATTTTATTAGCAGGAGAGCTGAGAAGGTCCCAATGCTTCTTTCTATTTCTTGTTTTATAATTACAAACAAAATGGAAAAAGTCAAGAAGTATGCAGAACTCCATATAGAGAAAATGTTTTTCTAATAACTTCACTAAAAACCATGCTAGATTTACGCATTCATATATTTATGCTTCTTAAACACTTTTGACACAAAATTCCCTTTGCAGGGACATATTAAATTTAATAGGCTAAAGAGAACTTATGCAAAATAATGCTTGAAACTGTACACACAATAGCTGTGTGCATAGTAATAAAGAAGCTTGCTCTTTGGAAATAGCTTACTCATGACCTCCCAGGCTGCTTTCCTGTGACACACAATGCCAGAAACATCATGGTGAAAGTCAGTTACCTAACTTAGTTTATTATCAGTTTTGTACACTTGTTTTTTATACAATCAGGGAAAAAAGATATAATTTGTATCAACAAAAGGTCATTTATGGTTAATTAGGCATTGCTTTTTGTTACTTCAGTTCATACACATTTTATAAGAAGAATGACAATTGTTTTTTTGAAAATAAAAAATACATATGCTGCCCTAAAATATTTCTTGTGTTGGGAGGAGTCTACAGTTTTTCTGAGTACTAAACATGAACATGTTCAAGATAAATTGCAGCTGACAAGATAAACCATGTGCTTCCCTGTAAATTTCGCAACTAGTGGATACTGTGGTACCATTGATGATTGTGGTAGGAAGATGAACTGGCACAAAGGCAGTACAGTCATCTAAGATTTTCAAATACCCTGATTTAGACATGGGACAGATTCAGGAGGTCCAAGAAGTTGAAGATAGGAAATGGTATTTGTGTGAAATTTGGGTGAAACTGTGTGAATTGCAAACACTTCAGTGGCAACTGTCACTCTCTATTTTATACCTGACAGAAAATACTTTTACACCTCAATATGCTGGGGAACAGAAAGATCAGAGGGTAGAAGATGAATATGAAGCTGTGATTAACTGAAGAGAAATGCTGGTTGAAATGCAGTTTTGGTCAACAAGGACAGAGACAGAAAGCCAAAAAGCAGCATGCAAGCCATTATCAAACAACCAAAAACAACCCTGACTACAGCCTCACATGTGGAATGTTTCACAGTAAGAAACATTTATAGGCAGTGTCACACAAAAGACCTACTCCAGGCCTTCTCAACTTTCATGACAAAAAAAAATTCATAGAAATTAGCAAGTTCCATCTCAAGAAGTAGTGAGTAGGTCATGGTCCAAAATGTTTAATATACAATGGATTAAAAAAGGGGTTCATTTAGTACGGCTTAAAAAAATAAATGCCTCTTTTAGAGGCATTTAGCTACAAAGGTTTCCACCCTGAGCAAGATACTAGTTGCACAAATGGTGCCAACCCAAAGTCCTGCAGTGTTTAGTAATGCATTTAAGAATTATCTAAGGATAAGTGCATCCTCTTTGCATGTATTTGAAGTGCATAACTGAACCAGCTATTAGCAAAGATGTAGCAACCCCTTTTGTGAGCTGCCTTTTTCCACTTAGAAAATCCCCTGGTTTTATTTCCTAAAGAAATTCTGTTCCATCAATTATTGACCTTATTGCCCAAAGGGTAGACAGCAGAAGAAAGTGGATTACATGTCTGTGCACTGTCCTCCATTACATTTTATCCTTTTATGTGGAATACTGCATAGGTCAGAAGTCTACAGAGTATCCATTAGACTCTCTTTGAGTGCAGCTTTTGTGTCCATCATGTAATGCTGCACAAGTTTGACCATCACCCCTGGGAAAAGGGACGTGGAGTCTGGTAGTAAATCCCTTGGTCCTCTCAAACTTTTCTGTGCTTGTCTAGCACACACCTGCTATGCTTAGAACTTGAGCTTATCCATCAGCTCCTCTGAAGAAGAAAGCTGTAATCTGATCCCTAATTTGCTAAGGTGAAGAGACTTAAAAGCTAAGAACTATCAGTAACTGTTGACAAGTAAAAAGTGCAAAGAAAATAGAGCTAGTATGCTCTGATGTCTAAGAAAACAATATTCAAATATTGGCATGTAATTTCACTTTCAAAACTAGTTGAAACTATGAAATGTGACATAAAATCAAGTTGGATTCGTGAGCTATACAACTGTAGACTAAGGACTGTGCAGAGCTTTTCTTATCATCACTATATAAAAGGTTATATGGAGATACACAAACATCTCAAACTAAATATTTACAGTTATACATGCACTATAGTTGTTAACAGTAGGTTTGAAATATATCTCTAGAAGCCTTGATGTGACCCTGTAGCTTGGTTAGTAAAGATATTGAATGGTCAGATATTCATGCAATAATTTATGCATTTACTTTTAAATAGCTTTAAATATCCTATTAAAAATCCCAAAAGATTAATTCAACATGTGATTTGATCCTGCTCTCTAAATTAGATATATTATCAATACTTTGTAATGTAGAATGTGATTAAGAAAGCATTGGTAATGGAATCCCTTGGGAGTTTCTTGTATTTAGACCTCTTCCCCTGAGTTTTGTCCTCCATTGCATGGTGCCGTGCGAAAAAGCATGGGACTTGGAGTCAGAGGACTTGAGTATGAGTCCTGGTTTGGTCACTTGCTAGCAGTGTGATCTTGGCAAGTAACTTAATCTCAGTGAGATTTAGTTTCCTTTTCTAGAAAATAAGACATTAGTAAGATTTACCATACAGGGCTGTTTTGCGCTTCAAATAACATAAACATTGTAACTTGTAAAGCGCAACACAAAATTGTTTGTTATTATTATCATAGTATTAGTGCATTATTAATATTAATATTTATTTTTGTATAAAGGAATAAGTCCTATGTCATGTCAACGAGCAGCCCTAAGCTTAGAAACAATCAAAGCTGCCAGTTGTTGGGCATCTGCAGTGTGGGGATTCTTCTCCATCACTGCAAGGACGATGTTTGAAGGGAAAATATTACAGAGGTTCTTATAAGTCTGATACTGGTGCTCTGGGATCATATGCTCCCTGTTATCATTGCACATTCCAACCCAAGGATTCCTCCAAAGCTGTTCCATCTTTTCAGGCACGCTCCGTACCATAACTGGCTCATAGCATGGTTGCATGAGGCTGTTACTCAAGGGATAGGAGTGGTACCCATAGGAATCAGTTACACTGGGCAATGGATCCCAGCTGGCATGTTGTTCCCGGCACAGAGGAGGTCGTCTTTGCCTCATGGGGTTGCTCTCATAGAGGCGGGAGTCAGAAATGCTGTCCATCCGAGTCATTACAAGGGCACGTCCTGGCTGAGGGGTTGCCCCAGGATGGATATTGGGAGGCATAGGGTAGTCTCCAGGACAGCTGGAGCAGGCTCCAGTTGCTGGGTGCTGGGCTTGCAAAACTAAGTGGGAAACTGACTGCTTGTGGGGGGCTTGTTTAGAATCCTCTGGGCCATAGCTCTGTGCTCGCGTTAAGGCGTCATGGTAACCATGAGGAAAAGGCTGAAGACGGTTCTGAGATGCGGAGCGATGTAGCTTCAAACTGCCTTCAGGATGACTATCAGCTACAGCCAAGTATAGATTGTTGTAAGAGGAATAGTTGTCATTCCTGGTATGGCTCATACGGTTGTCAGGACAGAGGCTGGGATTTCGGGCATATACCCCTCGGTCTGCTTCAGCCATGTAGTACTCTCGATTATGCATGCTATTGATGTTCAGTTTGGAGAAGTCGCCTAACACTGAATAGTAGCCATGGTCCCCCAAGGACTCAAACTTTGAGTATTGATCAGCATAGCTAATAGGGGTCCCATGGCTGTTGGTAACCAGGATCGGGGGGTACTGCATGCTGGCCATGTGCTCCAGTGAGGCCTTCTGGTGGGAGAAATGAGAGGATCCTGGCACCGGGCTGCTGGCTGAACGGGTGTTGAGTGCACTCACTGCATGGCTTTTAGGGGGTGGGATTGTGGGGACACTTAGGGCAGTCACAAGTGAGGGGACAGAGCTGGCCTCAGGCTTACGGGCAATGGACACCCATTCCTCGGGCTCCACAGCCATGGACCGGATGCTGGGATCTGATTGGCGCTTGGGGGCCACACGTTTGACTTCTGAGGTTGTCTCACCTTTGGCACTAGACATCCCTGTGCCGCACTTGCCCAGGGTGCCTTCACTCACGGTTTTCACTGTGGACAGTTTGGCACTGATGCGGAGCTCATCAGCCACCGAACGCTGTGGTTGGTTGGCCCGCTCCGGATGGTAGTATTTGCACTTGTGGCCATAGGTGCATTTTTTGCCTGAAAAATAATGCCTTGGGGTAAGACTCTCTCTCATACTGGTGCAAATCTGTCAGAAACTGTTGTAACAATCTGGTTACTCAAGTAAGAGTTTTAGTGTTTGGGCTTAAAGAAGAAAATTAACTGTCCCCAAAGATGAGAGAGGCAGGACAACATCAAGGAGGCATCACACACTGTGAGGGGAGTGGGAAGAAGTGGAAAGCTGGGGAGGAAACCACAGTGTAAAAGCTAAGAACTGAGCAGTTGAACAGCCTTCATTTTCCTGTAATTCACAACTTTGCCTAGGCATAACCTGCATGCTGAGGTGGTGTAGGATAGCAGCAGGCAGCATAGTACAATGCAAAAAGCATAGGCTTGGAAGCCAGTCAGACCTGTGTTTCAATTCCAGCTTTGTCGCTTACTAGCCATGTAACCTTCATAAGTGACTTTACCTTCTGAGCCTCAATTTCCTCTTCTGTAAAAAAAGTTCATAATTATGCCTATATTATATGGTCATTGTGAAGATTAAATGACGATAATGAACATGAAAATACTATATAATTTAAATAAATGTTAATTGATAAAAAGAAAAAACCCAAGACGTCCCATAAATAAATGATTATCCAAAAAGAGTGAACATGCAAAGTAGCCTCAGACCAGGCAGCTTATGTTGCACTGTTAGGCTTACAAACTTTGTGTCAGAGGGACTTGTGTAAGATCATAAAAGCACTCTAGAAAACTATATTTTAAAAGAGCAAATGAAAATGAAGTTTGAAGGCAAACTGGAAAATACAGAACTGAAGAAAAGAGTATTATTAGTTGACAGAGAGTGCAATCACCTGCTTGAGAGATACGTCCTTCCTGTGGCCAAATCCAATTTGGCTTTGCCCTTTCTGCTTCCATAGGCCATGTGGGTTTCTGCATTTCCCTGCCTCCAGCAACACTGGTCAGGATGGAGGCAGCTAGAGCGCCTGCATTATTTAAATGAGTGACAACTAATCTTTCCTTCAATTCTAGTTACCTTTCCTTCATGTGGTTTATAAGATGTTTCTTTAAATGCCTAACTGAGAATACATAAAGTCACAGACTTAAACTCCCAGGAAGTGGACAAGATAAGATTTTCCATTCGAAAGGGAAACCTTTGAGAAGTAAGTATTCATATAGTCCTTATGTTTCCCTTAGTATAGAACTCAGTTCTGCATATAGGTACTCACCATAAGGGCATGGTTGCTTCTTGTGCTCTGGAACAACAGGTCTCTTTCTCAAGAAATTTTCAAGATTTGGGCCATGGCGTCCTAAAGGATCATCTGGAGGCATAAATCTGAAAGCAAACAAGCAAGAGGTAAACATCTTCCTTTCTATCCTCACCCCCACTTCAGGAGTTCAGACCTTCAGTACTCCTTACCTATACTATTGTCACAGCCTTCTAACTGCCCTTTCTGCCTTAAACTAGGCCAGCAGTTCTTCCCTCCATTCTCACTTGAACACACACACACACACAAAAGATGATTTTTCCAGCGTATCTTCTGTGGATTACGTTTCAACCATACTGGCATTCCTGGTGGCTCCCCAACATGAGACTCACTTTCACATCTTTATAGCTTTATTCATGATGTTCTCTTTACCTATAACACCCAGTAGTCCCCTTTCTTCTGTTTGTAAACTTCATCTCAAATGTCATCTCTTGTTTGAGGCTTTTTCCTATCATTTCATGTAGCAACTTTAAAAACTCTAACCATACTGCTTATCACAACACATTGTGTCTCTCTTTCTTTCTCTTCTCCACTACACTTTGAGCCTCTTTTAAGGGTGAGTCCTGTTTCTTATTCAACCTCTTATCCCTATGGCAATCAGCATAATACACAGTACACAGTAAGTGTTCAGTAAATTTTTATTGAAATGAAATAATCTATTCCTAGTGCAACTTGGATTTAGTCTATTCAGAGCCTATTGAAAACAACGTACTTGTCATTCACAAAAGAATACATCAGCAATCGCTCCTCTATAAACTTCTTCCATTCTGGCTTTTCAACTTGAAGGTCTCGGTAGTTATCATTAGATACAATGATGCCGTCGGAATCGAAAGCCAATTTGACTATGAACCGGTCATCATAACAGACAACTCTCCTGCCCTGGACCCTTCGGGATGGTGTGAAGACAAGAATCTTTTCTTTCTCCAGTTTACGTAGGATATCTTGATCTGTCAAAATATAGATTATATGCCACACAGTAGAAACCATCTTTGGAAATTAACAACATTATCCTCATATTACAAATATAAAAGTTGGTACTAAATGCATATGTTATTTGCCCTTAGAGAGAAAGTGGTTTCTATTCCTGGCTATGACACAAATTTGGATTGTGACCTCAGGCAAGTCACCTTCTCCTTCAGACTTCAGTTTTCCATAAAGTGAAAGAACTGGATTCAATGACATTCAATGACATTAAAAAACTACCATGAAGAGTGAGAAATAGCACTGATACCCTACCATTCTTGTTGACTGATTTGCCCTTTGGAGGAAGCAGCAGCTTTTGCCTGCTGAAGAAAACAGAGCAGTATGCTGAAGATATGTCTGTCAGGAGGAGGGTAAAGCATCACTCTGTGGGAGTTACATTTTTGCCTTCTGCCTGAAGGAAAGCCACAACTAAGGAAAAAACAAAGCTGTAGCATGTTGAGTACTGACCCCCTTTCCTTTTGGTTTCTTAATTGCTAACGAAAGAAAGTTTACAAGCTGGGCTTGAGCAGGGCCAGGATCCACTCTCAGATGAAGTTGAAACTCGACCATTCTCTTACACCATACACAAAGATAAACTCAAAATGGATTAAAGACCTCAACGTGAGACAGGAATCCATCAGAATCCTAGAGGAGAATATAGGCAGTAACCTCTTCAATATCGGCCACAGCAACTTCTTTCAAGATATGTCTCCAAAGGCAAAGGAAACAAAAGTGAAAATGAATTTTTGGGACTTCATCAAGATCAAAAGCTTCTGCACAGCAAACAGTCAACAAAACAAAGAGGCAACCCACAGAATGGGAGAAGATATTTGCAAATGACAGTACAGACAAAAGGTTGATATCCAGGATCTATAAAGAACTCCTCAAACTCAACACACACAAAACAGACAATCATATAAAAAAATGGGCAGAAGATATGAACAGACACTTCTCCAATGAAGACATACAAATGGCTATCAGACACATGAAAAAATGTTCATCATCACTAGCCATCAGGGAGATTCAAATTAAAACCACATTGAGATACCACCTTACACCACTTAGAATGGCCAAAATTAGCAAGACAGGAAACAACATGTGTTGGATAGGATGTGGAGAAAGGGGAACCCTCTTACACTGTTGGTGGGAACGCAAGTTGGTGCAGCCACTTTGGAAAACAGTGTGGAGATTCCTCAAGAAATTAAAAATAGAGCTTCCCTATGACCCTGCAATTGCACTACTGGGCATTTACCCCAAAGATACAGATGTAGTGAAAAGAAAGGCCATCTTTACCCCAATGTTTATAGCAGCAATAGCCATGGTCGCCAAACTGTGGAAAGAACCAAGATGCCCTTCAACAGACAAATGGATAAGGAAGTTGGGACCCTGTTCAGAAGCTTACAGATAGATCCAAAAAACAATTCGGACCAGCATTCTTTCTTATTTGGCACCTCATGCAAACAGCTGATACTCAGAGAACTAGGGTCTTTATGTTCTCAAATGCTATAAAAAGCTAGCTTTAAAAAAAAAGCTAGCTTCATATACTGTTGTAAGCAAATGTAGTAATCCTACTGACATTAGGGCTGCATCATGACTTTTGTGGACCTTAGACATGTTTGCCTTTGTGGGTCCCTTCTTTCATAAAGAAGTACTAAAAATTATACTTTACAACTGCTTTGGCATAAAAACAAATAATCTCATTAGCTACATTATTATAAATTAATTGCTATATTTGATTTTTCCTTCATTGTTGAAAGAAAATGAAATTAAAACATCTTTTTGTTATATTTTAATTCCAGTGTAGTTAACATACAGTGCTATATTAGTTTCAGGTGTAAAACACAGTGATTCCAAAATTCCATGCATCACTCAGTGCTCATTAAGACAATTGCACTCCTTATTCTTCATCACCTATTCACCCATGCATACCATCCATCTTCCTTCTGGTAACCATCAATGCGTTCCCTATACATAGAGGGTTTTTCTGGTTTGTCTAACTCTCTCTCTCTTTTTTTTTCCTTTTGAAGGTCTTTTTTGTTTCTTAAAATCCACATAAGAGTGAAACTATGGGTAGCATGATTACTGGATGATAGGGTAGTCCTATTTTTAACTTTTTGAGGAAATTTCATACTGTTTTCCATAGTGACTACACAAGTTTACATTCCTACCAGAAGTGCACAAGAGTTCCTTTTCCTCCATGTCCTCACCAACACTTGTTTCTTGTGTTTTTTTTTTAATTTTAGCCATTATGACAGGTATGAAGTAATATCTCATTGTAGTTTTGATTTGTATTTCCCTGAAGATGAGTCATATTGAACATCTTTCATGTGTCTGTTGGCCATCTGTATGTCTTCTTTGAAAGAATGCCTGTTCATGTGTCCTGCCATTTTTTAATTGGATTATTCATTTTCTGGGTGTTGAGTTGTATAAGTCAGAGAGGCTTCTGCCGGTGTTCTCCTCTAGAATTCTGATGGATTCCTGTTTCAAATTTAAGTTTTCCATCTATTTTGAATTCATTTTATTTGTATGTTGTAAGACAATTGTCCAGTTTCATTCTTCTGCATGTGGCTGTCTAATTTTCCCAGCACCATTTATTGAAGAGACTGTTTTTTTTCCATTAGGTATTCTTCCTTGCTTTATTGAAGAGTAATCGACCATATGTAATTGTGAGTTTACTTCTGGGTTTTCTATTCTGCTACATTGATCTATGTGTCTATTTTTGTGCCAGCACCATATTGTTTTATTTACGACAGCTTTATAACATAACTTGAAATCCAGAAATGTGATGCCTTCAGCCTTGTTTTCAGTTTTCAAGATTGCTTTGATTTTCAGGATATTTTGTGGTTCCATACAAATTTTAAGATTGTTTGGTCTAGCTCTCTGAAAAATGCTGTTTGTATTTTGATAAGGATTGCATTAAATGTGTAGATTGCTTTGAGTAGCATAAACTTCTTAAAAATATTTGTTCTTCCAATCCATGAGTATGTGTCTTTGTGTCTTTCTCAATTTCTTTCATAAGTGTTCTATAGTTTTCAGACTATAGATCTTATATCTCTTTGGTTAGGCTTGTTCCTAGGTACCTTATTGTTTTTGGTGCAAGTGTAAATAGGATTCTTTTCTTAATCTCTCTTTCTGCTGCTTCATTATGGGTGTATAGGAATGCAATAGATTTCTGTACACTGATTTTGTATCTTGCAACATTTCCGAATTCACTTATCAGTCTAGCATTTTTTGAGAGTTTTCAGGATTTCTATGTAGAGTAATCATGTCATCTGCAAATAGTGAAAATTTACTTCTTCCTTACTGATTTGGATGCCTTTTACTTCTTTTTATTGTCTGATTGCTGTGGCTACAACTTCCAGTATTATGTTGAATAATTGTGGACATACATGTCTTTTTCCTATCCTTAGGGGGAAAGCTCTCAGTTTTCCCCCATTGAGGATCATGTTAGCTGTGTAGTTTTCATACATGGCCTTTAATATTTAGAGATATATTCCCTCTAAAGCTACTTGGTTGAGGGTTTTTATGATGAATGGGTGTTGTACTTTGTCAAATACTTTTTCTGCATCTACTGAAATGATAATATGGTTCTTTTTACCCTTTTTTAAAAGTTTTTGTTTAAGTTCCAGTTACATACAGTGTAATATTAGTTTTAGATGTACAATATCGTGATTCAATACTTACATATAACACGTGGTAAAATCATAAAAACTGCACTCCTTAATTCCCATCACCTATTTAATCTGTTCCCTCACCCACCTCCCCTCTGGTAACCATCAGTTTGTTCTCTATAGTTAAGAGCCTATTTCTTCAGCCACAGCAACTTCTTTCAACACATGTCTCCAAAGGCAAAGGAAACAAAAGTGAAAATGAACTTTTAGGACTTCATCAAGATCAAAACCTTCTGCTCAGCAAAGGAAACAGTCAACAAAACAAAGAGGCAACTCATGGAATGGGAGAAGGTATTGGCAAATGACAGTACAGACAAAGGGCTGATATCCAAGATCTATAAAGAACTCCTCAAACTCAACACACACAAAACAGATAATCACATCAAAAAATGTGCAGAAGACATGAACAGACACTTCTCCAAAGAAGAAATACAAATGGCTAACAGACACATGAAAAAATGTTCATCTTTAGCTATCAGGATGATTCAAATCAAAACCACATTGAGATACCACCTTGCGTCAGTTAGAATGGCCAAAATTAAGAAGACAATAAATGATTTTTTTGGTGGGGGGAATATGGCAAAGAGTAGGAGATACTGTTTCAACTGGTCCCCTAAAGTGAGATGATTATCTACCAGAACACTCTGAACACCCATGAAATCATCCTGAAATGTAGGATTACACACTTCTAGATCTTTACAGGGGGCAGAAGACAAGCCAGTGGACAGGTAAAGCAGAGTGGGAATGTTAGACTGATACCGGAAAATAAACAAAAGGGGTAGGGAGCCACCATAAGCGACCCATTGGAAAGTAATACCCCAATATGAGAGTGCCCTGTGATTGAGGACCAGCATTAACTTGGAGTATGATTAAAAGCACTCAAAAAGAGCAAAAGATATTACGGGGAAACTGGTGGAATCAGGCAGTTATGGGCACATGAGCTCAAACCCACAGACCCAGGATGGCCACCACCGATGCCATGCCAAAGAGAGTGCTGCGAAGCATCCAGGTCATGGTCCCTGAGCCACTAGCATGCACGTGAGAGCATCTGGTGTGGATGACAGCTGGGGGTCTCTAGAACCACAGCCTTTTGCACTCTGCACATGCACAACACAACCAGGGTCTGAGTCATGCTCCACATCCTCCCCTGAGAGGTCAGTGTGGGTGCTAGCCAGTGATTTCTAGGACTGGCAAGAGTCTGAACACTCCCAGCCTGGGCCAAAGTGAAAATCTCTGTGCACTTTCTCTGGTTGAGATCTCTCCAGTGGGCTGGACCTGCCCAAAGAGCTGTGGCAAAGGCAGCCACTGGAAGC